GGCCTCCTGGGAGGCCCTCGTCGCCACCGCTGGATTCGCCTCGAAATTCTGGTCAACGGTATCGGTACCTTTGGGTCACCCCAAGGAGGGGAGGGGGACTAGGAGGGGGGGGCGCTCATGTCTAGGGCCTCCTAGATGGGGTCGGGGTAGATGGGGTCGGAGGATCGCGCCGCACTGCAGATGCATCGGCGATGCGGTTCGATGTGAAGCCCGTGCTTCTCCACGCCGACGGCGCCGATGCATCGCCGACATCGCCGACGCATCGCCTCGGATCCCATCTGGGAGGCCTCTATCATGGCCGGGGCCATGCTGGGAGGGAAAAAACACGCAGACACAATTAATCGTCGATTCCTCCGAAAATATATGAAAATACGGGAAATGGGGGGAAGACAAAAAATCCGAAACTATGGGAGCATATCGGGAATATTTTAATTTGTGTGTGTGTGTTTGTTTGTGTGTCCCACGGCCCCTTCAAAGATGTCATGGCCCCCCCTTTTCATCTCTGTGCGCCACTTCGCCCCCCCAATGGGTATGGGCCGCGCCCCCGCTCTGATCTCGGCGCGCCATTCCGCCCCCCCCCCCTCGGGCCGCGCACGTGCCTCGGGGAGTGAGGTGCGAGCCTGCCCCTTTGACCCCCCCCCCTTCCCCCCCCGTCCTGGACGCCCCGACCTCCAGTGCCCCGGCGTAGACCTCAGAGAGTTCGTAGAACTTGGGAGGGGGAGGGCGGGACGGTTTTTGTGTCGCTATCCTTGCGTTCTGCTTCTGCTCGCCTGGGCCCGCGCTGCCGGGGGCGGCGGGAGGGAGGGCGTTGGCGCGAAGCGAAGCCAGGGGGGGAAGGAGAACACCCGCGACGCGGAGCGCGTTGCCTTCGGAGCGGAACCCCCGTGCACGGAATGGCCCACTCGGTGCCTCGTGCTTTCCCCCCTCCCACCCGCTGTCCTCGGCCGCTCTCTTCCCCCCCAGCCCTTTCTTCTTTTGGGAGGCTGCGTCGGTTTGTCTGTGTTGGGGGGGCCTTCTTCTGTTCCTTCTCCCGCCATCCTCCTTCGCGTTTCGGCTCGGGCCCCTTTCGTCCTCCCGCTTCCGGTCCCTGTCCTCTCTGCCTTCGTCTGCACCCATTCCGCCGGCGCCGCAGCAGCCTCGACCAGACAGGCCGCCCGGCTCACTAGTTCTACTAACTACTCTATCTACCTCTACCTAACCACCCAAGTTTCCTAAACCACCCCCCCCCCAGGGCCACGACCATCCCTCGGGGGGGATGGTCCAAAATCCAGCGAATTCCTCATTCTCCCCGACCCCACACCATTTTTCGTTTCGGTTCGGCAGTTTCGTCAAAGTGGGAGTGTCCATTGGTAGTGGCGATTTTGCGAAGCAGTGGCAGAGCAGTGATGGTGACAAGCGATGCACAGTGTGATTCTGGACTATGACCGGTCGACCGGGCCGCGAAAGAGCGAAAAACAAACAATGAGGAGGTCGGAGGAGGAGGAGGAGAAGGAGGAGGAGGAGGAGGAGGAGGAGTAAGGAGGGAGGAGGAGCATGAGGAGAGGGAGGAAGGAAAGGAGGAGGAGTAGGCATTGAAAGGAGGGAGGGAGAGAAGGGAGGAGTAGACGGCGCGAGGAGGAAGGAGGAGGGAGGGGGAGGGGGGATGGGAGGTATGGGGAGGGGGGAGGAGGAGGAGGCATCGTGCAACCAGCAGGGTGGGGTGTGGGAGTAGTGATCGGAGGACGGCGAGGACGGTGAGGACGAGGATTGCGAGGACTAGGGCGGAGCAGCAGCAGCAGCGGCCGGCGTTCCGGGCGCATGCGGGCCTGCGGGGCGCCCCAATCTGAGGTCGCGCCGCGGAAGTTCCCGAAGGCCCCACCGCCGCGCGCGCGGCCATCGGGGCCGTGCCGCCGCGGCCCCGACGACCACGACGACGACGACGACCACGACCACGACGACGACGACGACGACGACGACGACGACGACGACGACGACGACGACGACGACCACGACCACGACCACGACCACGACGACGACCACGACGACGACGACGACCACGACCACGACCACGCGGACGACGACCACGACCACGACCACGACGACTGCGACCACGACCACGACCACGACCACGACCACGACGGCGACGACCACGACGGCGACGACGACGACCACGACCACAACCACGACTACGACCACGACGACGACGACGACGACGACGACGACGACGACGGCGACGACGACGACGACGACGGCGGCGGCGGCGGCGGTGGCGGCGGCGGCCATCGTCGCTACCGCGAGCCGCCGGTGGCACCCGAGAGGACTCGCGCTATGCCCTGCTGGTCATGGACCGCTTGGCGCCCAGGGATGCGCCCGCCCTCCCCCCGGGGCCGGGGCCTCCCGGCGGACATCGGTCCCGGCGGGTCTACCCGTGAGCAGTTCTCGGCCGACCGCTCACGGTCTGGAGTTTTGTTGCGTCACGTGCCGCGCCGCCGATGCTCAGCATCGTTTAGCCGATCCCTATCCCCTTCTCCGTTCCCGTCCAGATCCCCCCCGTCCCACCACCCTGGGTGGGGATATGCCCCTCGAGACTCGCAGGGAGTAGCCTACATCCCCATCTAGGGGGATGAAGCGGCAAGTGGGGCCCAGGCCACGCCCGTGGGGGTAGGGATCGGTTAAACGATGCTCAGATGCTGATCTCGCCCACCACGCTTCGGCGCCACACGCTTATGCTCAGGAAGGGAAAAAAACACAGGCACAAGTAATCGTCGTCTCCCAGGGAAACAAGAGGACATATGGGAAGTGGTTTTAAGACGAAAACCCATAAGATATTGAAAAGTGTTCGGAATCCTGGCATCTGGTTGCATTTATGTGTGTGTCCCAGGGCCCCCTTCATCTGCACTTGCCAACTCCCGAGCGGCAACGTCCCAAGCCTTTCCCAGCCTCTTGCCCTCGAGGCAGACCAACACGCCACCCGCTTGCAAGGCAGAGCGTGCCGCGGGGCCGCCGCCGCGACGTGTTCAGTAACAGCTCCCAGTCTCCAGGCCTCTCCCCCTACATGGGGATTTTCGACGAAAAATACAAAATGCCCCCCGAATAGTCAAAACATTGTCCAAAAATAGTCTGCCGAGTTTTTGTTTAAGTATTTTTTGACCTTTTTGGGGTATGTTTGGGATATTCTTAATCTTTCGTCGAACATCCCCCTGTAGGGGGACAGGCCCGACTTAATCCTAGTCGCTCACTGCGCGTCGGGTCGGTGGATTGCGCGCGGGGTTGTTCGGTCAGGGTGCTTAGGGGTTCGGGAGGGGCTCTGGTTCTGGGCCGCTCCTAGGGTCCAGGTAGCGGAACCTGCTCGTGGCTGGGGCTCACAGTGGCCAGGAAATCCCCATCGTTGCTTTTTGCCTCCAGTTCTCAAGATTGCGAGCATTGGCGAAGCGTCTTGCGTTGTCGAGAGGCCTACCAAGGAATGCTCGAAGAACCCGTACGGTCTGCACGAAATAGTTTTAGAACATTTCTGGCTGGGGCTGTCTGGTTTGAACACATCGGCGTTATGTTCTAAGAACATTTTTGGGGCTAAGAGCAAGTCGTGGTGGGCCTATAGGAATGCCGGGTCGGTCGGTCACTGCTCAAAGATGTCAAGGCAGCACGAGGGTTGTGGGGACGCAGTGCCCCTCGAGGCCGCGGGGGGGGACTCGAGTCCGACGAAAGGGGGGGCCTAGTGAAGGGGAAGCGTTGCGACATCTGTCGCATGCAGCTGGTTTCGGCTCCGCCCCCAGGCGCATTCCTCCATGCACTGGCGTGTCTGGCGCCGGAGACGCAGGAGAAATCAGCCACGTGAGCTGATTCGCTATCCCCACCGCTGCGATCCCCCCCCTTTTCGTCCGACCCGAGGAACGGCTCGCGTTGGCGGGGGGTCTTCTTTCTTTGCCCGTGAGGGGTGGGATGTGATGCTGGGCTGGTGATGATACTGGTGATGTGGTGGTGGTGATGATGCTGTGGTGGGTTTGGTGGGGAGGGTCACCGGGCTTCTCCATCGGGGGCGACAGAAGAAGGTCGCATCGCAGGTCGAGCTGTCGCTTCGGCAGTTGGCATCCAGGTCAGCACAAACACGCTCGAAGAGCAGGGACACAAAATGCCAACCGATCTCCCTCGAGAGGCTTTTTGTGTCCCTGCTCCTTGAATGGTGGTCCGGGCCTCTTGGTCACCTGCCCCCTGGTTGGGAGAGATCGCAGCGGGTGGCCGCCAACCACGCGCTCCACACTCCCCCTCGCTCTTCCTCCTCTTCCTTCCCCCCCCTCTCCCTCCATGCCAGTTCATCACGACCTTACTCTAGAAGCTTCGCGTAACCCCATCGGCTCATGCAGAAACGATGCCCAGGCTGGTTGCCCTGATCGGGCTTGTGGGGGAGGATGGAGGAGGAACCAGAGGGGGAGGAGGAGGAGGAGGAGGAGGAGGAGGAGGAGGAGGAGGAGGAGGAGGAGTTTTTTGCCATCAACGGCTACCAACTGCCCACGTACACCCTGGGGGGCGGGCGATTCCACCCCAGGGGAACGAAATGAAACAAACAAGAAATAAGCTGAGAGCACAGGGTCAGAGCCTATTCTGAACCATGGCTCGCAGCAGGCGCCGCCGAACCGACGGAGGCCGCGAGAAACAGAGCATCCTCCTCCTCTACAACATCTAGCCTGAGGATCTCCAGCTGGGCCTGGTCCTCAAGCTCGACCTGGCACTCTGGCTCTCCCTCGCTGGGTCCAGCAAGGCTGGGTGCACTGTGCAACCGACGGCCACCCTCCACCTCCAGACGAGCACGAAGGCGCCCCTCAGAGCGCTGGCCCCCAAGTTCCACCTGGGGGCGCAACAGCATGCTCCTGAAGCGCATACATCGGGCATAAAGTGTCCACGTCTATTGTAACCCCACGTTTCTTGACCGAAGGGTGGAGCCCGCGATGGAGTTTGGACCACGGGTTCATGTGCGTAGCGGCCTTATGAGGCTCACACTTCTTGCCAAGGTTGGCAAGCCGAGCGCCAGAGGTCATATAGCTGCATCTTTGGCATATGCACAAGAAAGACCCGTCGGAACAGTCGACTACAATACAACGGTGGCCGAGGGCTCGCAAAGCCTCAGGCTGCACTCGTAAGGACTGGGAGCAGGCTCCACCCACAGGGGGTGAACTTGGCTTGCCTCGACGCCCGCGCAAACACTCGCAGCACTGCCAAAAAGAGCGTACCCAGCACCACATATGGGGCGGGTGCTGAGGAGTAGAAACAGGTTTGGGCGGATCTGTCGTGCGCTCCACACCCGGACCCATAACAAGGCGAGGCCAGGACGGCAACAGGTTGGCCGCCAAAACGCCGACAGCCTTCGCAACCGAAATGTCCTGATCGATCATCTCCGCATACTTTGGATCCGGAGAGGGGTGCGAGGCCACCGCGAGCTTGGCCGAGGCGTCGACGGCGCAGTTACCTTCGCAGCAATAACGCGCCCAGTCATCTTCGCACGAGCTGAGGTCCTGGTGAGCCCTGACTTTAATGACAGAGCACTGGTGTGCAAAAGGCCTACAAAATTGGGCAACCCCCGAAAATATACGCTTGGGAGAGCACTGGGCGTCAAATGGCAAAGCGTGGAAATCAATGCAACTCTGGCAATCCAGGAACAGCTCGCTAGGGCCATTTGACCACTGACAAGCGACGCTTTATGCATAAAACTCGGCCGCCTGGGGCGTCTGGGGACAAGGAGCCCAGACTGACCCCCGAACCCTGAGTTTCTCGAGACCTGTGGCACGACACCAACCACTGAAGGCCCAACCAGCGCGGTTAAGCTCCGATATGAAACGTCTCGTGCAGGATCCGTCGGCGAAAATATCACCCTGGACGTCGGTATTGAGATCTCCGGCTTCTCCAACCCACTCCACCACGATGCCCCCAGACGAAACAGGCCCAGGAACATCATCTCCAGGATGCGGGAAGACCCCGTAGCAAGCCAGGGCATCATCAGCAACAGCAGCAAGTCTGCGGACTTCAGGCTTGACGAGATCAGCACGAAGTTCTTCGACCGCCTCGCACTCCCACAGACGATGCCTTAAAGTGTCGGGCGCGGCGAGGCACAACTGGCACAAGTTGTTGATCTTACAGCCTAGACTTACAGCTCGCGTGCGAGTGTAGACGGCATCACAAAACAAAGCACGAATGCAACTCTTCTGGAACAGAGTGAACCGCCCAGAATTCAGAAGATGAAGGATGCCATCCGCACAAGCACGCTTAGAAAGGTTCAGACGGGCCCCAAAATCCCACTCCAAGCCCCTCAAAACAGTTTTTTTCAGCAAAACCTTGACCAAAGAGGGCGAAAAAACAGTGAGGGAGACCCTGTGACCCTGATCCGTGAGCAGAACCGCAAACGAAGGCATACTCCACGAAATTCGCTCGCAAGACTTTCTCAGAGCAGAAATAGGCCCGGACACGTTACGCCACAACGGGGATTCGCCCGAAAATCCGGCCTCCCAGGCAGCACGGAGCTCAGGGAGAGGAATAGAGTGAGGGTACAACCAAAGATGGGAGGTCCAGACTTCCTTGGACCACCGAATGATGGCGCCACGCTCGCCAGCCAGCACGGGTCCTGGTGAGCCAGCAACAAACAAGTGAGATTACGGCCCTTGGCCGAGGGCTGAAGGATGGAGCCAGCCTGGCGGCGGAGGTTGAGAAGCTCGTAGTCCGTAACCCCATGGACGTCAGCACCGAAAAGATTAGACGCCATGGAGCCGGAAGCAAAAACCTTCCGCGCAACGCGGCCTCCAATGGTCGGGCGAAGCCTCGAAAGCCTACCACAGAAACCTTTCGATTTGTGTTCCTGGGCCTTGGCCTTGCTAGACCTCCCCTTCCTCCTCCTCGATCTGCCGGCGCAGTCGTCAACGCCTAAGTTGGCTGCACTGCTCACGAGAGGGCCGGCCAGGCCGCCCAGCCGTCGGCCGAGCGCTCTGCCCAGATCGAGCGACGAGCAAACTAAGTAGCGCTTGCCAGGGTCGTCCGAAACCTTATCTCCCACTCCAACCTCCAAAGCATCGTGAAGCGCAACGACAGCTGGCGGAAGATGAGTTAGAATGTACTCCTTAGAGCCCGTGGCCGAAAGACCAGAATCGTCAATAGAAAGTTTGAAATGGACCTGGGCAGGGAACGACAACTTATCTAGGGCAATGAGAGCGTAAACCCGGATCAAGCTGGTAGCGAAACTGCACCCCGCCACGATTCCCCGCCCAGCCCAATAAGGGCCGTCCACGAAACCAGCCAGCCGAAACCATCTGGCCTGAAGGTACATGGACACAGCCAGGTACGCAACTCCGAGGGGGAATTGAAGTTGGCGACAACCAAAAAGGAGCTCACGGAGGTCGATCGTTTCGTAATACTTGTAAAGATTGAGCAAGACCGTCGCCGCCTCCTCGTTGGCCAGGGTGCTGGATTCGGCACGGAGCGCCTGCCTCCAGACCACGTCTTGGGCCCCCTCGAAGGGCCCAGCCGCGAAAAAAGGACGGGCAAAACGCGTTTCCCATTCCTGGGCCAAAGGCCGCCGGACACGGCCATAGGCCCGATACACGGCACAGAAATTTCCAATCGGTCTGAAACCGACCGAGGCTTTGGGAATGAGGGACAACAGAATGATGGCAATCTGACGGGGAAGCAACGCAGAGAGCTCCATGACAGCAAACAAATGAATGAGTGACGTGAGGGTCGAATCACTCATCATACTGAAATGTCGCATATGGAACCCGTCAGTGGCAACCGAAGTGTTTTCCTTAAATCCACTGGAAAACGCACGAACGGCGGCAACAGGCACCAGAGGCAACTCTGGCAGCGGACCGTCATGCCGGAACCAAATGTCAGCACTGCCATCACCCCAAAGATCGGCAAACCTCCTATTTTCGGTCTGGAGCAACGACAAAGGATCGCACACGACATCCCCATCCAAGCTCAGAGTCGTGGTGGGGGTCCATTTCGTGGCCCCCTTGGCCACCAAATGGACCCTCCGAGCCCCCCGATCAGCCAGGTACAGGATCCAGTCCCGAAAAGCTTTGGAAGCCGATTTACGGGCATGGGCCTCAACAGTCCCCAAGGCGACCTGGAAGGACCCGTGGAGACCCTCAAATCGTTCCAACCAGGCACCTTCCATGACCTCGTACATGGGCAGCTCCAGGATGAAAAAGGCCAGCTGGTCCAGAAAACAAGCTCGATGACCTAAGCTGCTGACCATCTGAGCCGAAGGCTGCTGCAAGGATCCGAGCACCGCGCTAATGCCGCGCATGTGTTTCTTGGGCTCTCCTTCTGCCCGACACGTGCTCCTCGGATGCTGTGGTCATTAACGGCCCTAGCTCGGCTTCGGTTTCCTTTCCATGTCTCAGTTCCTAGGCTCTGGCTTTACGTCTCGTTGTCCATATCTTCCCCCTCTTCCTCCTCCTCCTCATCCTCATCCTCATCCTCATCCTCCTTCCTCGAATTAGTCAGGGTGGCTTTGTTCGGTCTTGTGCGCCCCACGTTTCGCATTTTGCGTGAAACGGGGTGCTCTGCACAGCAAGGTCGATACACGCGTGATGGCGTGCGGTCGTAGAGCGAGAGCAGTCTGTATCCTACCTAGTTCGATTCCCGCGTCGCTCAAGTTGACTTGGGGGTCGTTCGTCAGACCGTGGCGCTCTCTTCTCCTCGCTTCTTCGTCTCTTTAGGCCTGCGGCACCCTTGTTTCTCATTCAGGCCACGGTTTAGTGCACGAGCTTGTCTATCGCAGGTCGGCTTACGTAGTGATCCCTGTTGGCTTGACGCCCTTTTGATTCGCACAGCGACCGAGGCCGACTCGGGTGTGGTTCTGCGGTCGCGCTTCCTCCAGCCTCCTCAGAAGAAACGAGTGCAAGCCTCCCGCCTCCTCCTCCTCCTTCTCCTCCTGCTCCTCCTCCTTCTCCTCCTCCCCCCCCTCCTCCTCCTGCCCCTCCTCCTCCTCCTCCTCCTCCTCCTCCTCCTCCGCCTCCTCCGCCTTCCTCCTCCTCCTCCTCCTCCTCCTTCCCCCCCTTCCCCCTCCTCCTCCTCCTCCTCCTCCTCCTCCTCCTCCTCCTCCTCCTCCTGCGTTTCGTGATCCTCCACCCCGGCCTCTGCGTGCGTCCGTTCGCCTTGCTGCCCCAGCGGACCTTGCGAGCGTGCTCCGTCCCACTGGGGGTGACCCTCGGCCTGGTTCGGCCGGCTCCGGCGGCGGGCGAGGACGTGGGAGGACGGGAGGAGGAGGAGCAGCAGGAGAGCACAAGAATCACGCTGACGAGGACCTGGATGATCGGGGTGACGCAAATGACGTGATGGTGATGGTGATGACGATGACGATGACGATGACGATGATGATGATGACGATGATGATGATGATGACGATGATGATGATGATGATGACGATGATGATGATGACGATGATGATGATGACGATGATGATGATGATGGTGATGGTGATCATGATCATGATGATGATGATGATGATGATGATGATGATGATGTGGAGGAGGAGGAGGAGGAGGAAGAACAGGAGAAGGAGGATGAGGATGAGGATGAGGGCGAGGATGAGGACGGTGATGCTGATGATTGTATTGGTGACGGTGATACTAATACTCACCGTCACCACGCAGCACCCAGCACGACACCACGTCAGGTGCAAGAAATTCGTTGTCGAGGCTTTTGCAGCTTTTCATCTTGCGAAGCAGCCAAATTTCTATCTCGGCGGAGGTCCTTGTGAAAACGCACAGGCTAAGGACGAGGACGAGGAAGATCGGACCCCATTGGAATTGACAACTTTGTACTTCCGGAACCCTTGGATCGCGACGCGCTTTTCCACGCGCATTCGTCGGATCGATGCCAGGTCGAATTTTGTGTTGACGATTTGAGTGTTTCCTGAATTACAGATGGCACGATGGCGATTACGAATCCCGTGCACGCGCAGAGGGTTCAGAATATCAGGCGTAACTTGACCAAAGTATTCCTGCGCAAGTGCGACTACAAGGCGAACTGCTTGGAACCTGTGGATTGGGGGCTGCGGGAGTGGAATACCAGAGCCGACTACGTGGTGCAAGTCGCCATTGCGACTTGCAGCAGTGACAGACCCTTAGACAGCAACATCATCAAGAATCTCGCTTTGCAGGCCGCAGGATTGCAGTTTTATTCCGACGGCGGTTTCGTTGAAGGCACGGATCGGTCACATGGGAGACGATCAGCATCGTGAAAGGGTCTTGGTTGGATCGTGTACCACTACGCGCCGGATGCGCCATCAGCCTTCGACATGGAGCTCCGTGGATTGGATAAGACGATGTATGTAATGTACATCCTTCAAGAGATACCGGTTCACCTCTCGCAATTTGATCGATGGTGTTCCTTGGAATAACGTGATGCTGATGACAATAATGAGGATGATGATGCTGATGATGACGATGCCGATGATGCCGATGCTAATGCTCGTGCTCATGCTCATGCTCATGCTCATGCTAATGCTGCTGATGATGATAATGAGGAGAAGGAGGAGGAGAAGTCGGAGAGGAAGGATGGAGATGATGGTGGTGGTGGTAATGCTGCTGATGATGCTGATGATGCTGATGATGATGGTGATAATGCTGATGGTGGTGATGATGATGATGATGATGATGATGATGATGATGACGAAGAGGAGGAGGAGGACCAGGAGGAGGAGGATGAGGAGGATGAGGAGGGTGATGATGTGCAACAAGAGGAGGAGCAGCAGAAGGAGTAGGAGGAAGAGGAGGAGGAGGAGGAGGAGGAGGAGGAGCGGCCAGCGAGTCGCAGCGCTCCCGAGGCCAGAAGAGCCTGGACAGCGTGGACCTGTACAACCAGGTCAAGCTCCCGCAGGGCGTCAGCGAGGACGCCATACCGCACCCGATTCTGCCACGGGAGCTGCCCCGGCAGGCCCGAAGCGCACGAGACGCGGCCGGCCCCGGCGAGAGCCCGGGCGCACGTGCACGGACGCGCAGGCGTTCTCAGGGCATTCGGCGTGTGGTTGCGTGCGCCGGCCCTCCGCGTGCTTCCAGCGCTCGGCCTTCGTGCTTCTGGGTGTGGGCTGGGCGCCCTTCCAGCGTGCGGTCTCCGCGAGCCCCGCGTGCGGGTCCCATCCCGCCGTGTGCGCGCGTGCGTGTGCGCGTGCGTGTGCGTGTGCGTGTGCGTGTGTGCGTGTATGCGTGTCTGTGTCTGTGTGTATGTCTGTGTCTGTGTCTGTGTGTGCGCGTGTGCGTATGTGTGCGCGTGTGCGTGTGTGTGTGTGTGTGTGTGTGTTCACCTGTCGTCCGTACCTTCGCCGTCCGTTCGGCGTATCTCCTTTCGTCTCCACCCGCGCCACGTCTCCGCTGGTTTCTGGCGCTCGACGGCGCGCCACCTCGTTTCCAGGCCGGGATGATTCTGCTCCTGTCCACGCTCTCGCGCTTCGTCCGCGTTGGAAGCCCAGCGTCGGGTCGGCGTGTCCCCTCCCCGACGTCCACGCCCCGGATGGTCTGCCGCTGCTGGCGCGCACGGAATCTGCGCAGATTCCCTTGGGGGCCCGGCCGCGCGCGCACCGGAGCCGACCTTTCTCCGCCTCGACGCTGCGCGCGAGGCCGCGACCGCCAAGAGTGTGTGTGTGTGTGTGCGTATGTGCGTGTGTGTGTGTGTGTGTGTGTGTGTGCGTGTGGGTGTGTGTTTGTGCGTATGTGTGTGTGTGCGTACGTGTGTGTGTGCGTATGTGTGTGTGTGTGGGTGTGCGCGTGTGTGTGTGCGTGTGCGCGTGTGTGTGTGTGTGTGTGTGTGCGTCTGTGTGGAATTCGGTTCTGCCATCCTGGCAGGTCTTTCGCCGGGGGAGAGGCGAGCACAACCGCGCGCCGAGTTTCGCTCGGGGGGGGGGCCAGCGCAAGCGAAGGGAAGCAAGAGGCTCGAGGGGCCAACTGGGAGTACAGAGTGCACGAGCCAGAGGGGAGAGGCGAGGAGAGATGGAGAGCTGGATGCACGTGCGCGCGGGCCTCGATTCTCGACGTTTGAGCTGCTCGCAGGGGCGACGGATGGGAACGTTAGAGTTTTGTGCCGCTCAGGGGCACGAGATTTGGTCGGAATCGGGGCGTTTCCCCAAAACGTCGCTCGTAGTAGCACTCCAATGTGAATCGAAAATCGCTCGGCCAGTGCCCGCATGTGCGCGCCTGCAGCGGGGAACTTTTGGTTAGCGCGTCGCGCCGCGAGTTTTGGCCCACCACGCTTCGAGGCGACACGCTACAGCCGGCCGGGATTAGTAGGTCGACCCTGCCAGCTCAAGGGTATATACCCTTGTGTCCTGTGCCTCGCGACACGTGCCCTCTTACACTCCTATGGCGATGTGGCCCTCGGAAGGGTCTTGTGTCCTCTCGCGTGTCCTGTCCAATCAAGGCCGACTGTATCCCCTTCCCAGTTCCCCAAGCGCCAACGTCCCAGGAGGAGCAGGAGGAGGCGGAGGAGGAGGAGGATTAGGAGGAGGAGGAGGAGGAGGACCGAGGAGGCGGAGAGGAGGAGAGGAGAGGGGAGGAGGCAGCAGGAGGAGGAGGCGGAGGAGAGGAGGGAGGAGGAGGAGGAGGAGGCGGGGGAGGAGAGGAGGATCAGGAGGAAGGAGGAGGAGGAGGGAGGAGGAGGAGGAGGAAGAGCGGAGTAGAAAAGCCACACAGGGACCAGCGCTTCAGTAGGCATGAGGAGGGGGGTGAGAAGGGGGGAGGCATGAGGAGTATGAGGAGGATGCGGGAGGAGATGAGGCGGTAGGGCGGAGGCGAGGAGGAGGAGCAGAGGAGGCGGAGGAGGAGGAGGAGGAGGAGGCCCTTCTGGGCCTCCCGCCCCGCGGATGTCCCGAGCGACGCGCCGTCCGCTCTCGCGAGGCACGGCGTGCGTCGCGGTGGGCCGCCGCCGCGCGGCCCTGGCATGGCCTGCCCTCCGCGCGTGCGCCACGCGCGCGGCCTTCGCACGCCCCGCGCGTGTGCCGCGCGGCTCCGAGGCGGGGAGTTATCCACGCGCTCCTCCTCCTCCTCCTCCTCCTCCTCCTCCTCCTCCTCCTCCTCCTCCTCCTCCTCCTCCCCTCTCCTACCTCCTCCTCCCTCCCCTCCTCCCTCCTCCTCCTCCTCCTCCTCCTCCTCCGCCTCCGCTTCGCTCCCCTTCCTTCCTTCTTTTCCTCCTCCTCCTCCTCCTCCTTCCCCTCCTCCTCCCCTCCCCTTCCCTCCTCCTCCCCCCTCCTCCCCTTCCTCCTCTCCCTCCTCCTCCTCCCTCTCCCTCCTCCCCTCCCCCTCTTCCTTCTGAACCTCCTCCCTCCTCCCTCTCCCCGCTCCCTCCCCTCCCTCCCTCCTCCTCCTCCCCTACCCTCCTCCCCCTCCCTCCTCCCCCTTCCTCCTGCCCTCCTTCCTCCTCCTCCTCCTCCCTCCTCCTCCCTCCTACTCATCTCCTCCTCTCCTCCTCCCCCTGTCCTTACGCCTCCTTGCCTCCTTCCTCCTTCCTCCTCCTCCTCCTCCTCCTCCTCCCTCCTCCTCCTCCTCTTCCCTACCCTCCTCTTCCTGTCCTTTTCCCTCCCTCCTCCCTCCCCCTCTCATCTCCTCCTCCCCTCCCTTCCTCTCCTTCGCTCCTCCTGCCTCTCTTTCGCCTTCCTCCCTCCCTCTCCTCCTTATCCTCCCTCCTCTCCTCCTTCCCTCCCTCTCCCCTTCTTTCTTTCCTTCCTCCGCCTCCTCCTCCTCCAAGCGCTGCGGACGCCAGGGGGGAGGAGATGAGCGTGGCGCTTCGTGCGCAGCCAGCAGGGAGGCGGGAATTTTGATCCATAAACACCGTCCTGGAGGATCCATTTTCCTTCCAGGGGGACACCTCGGCTGGGCGGTGGACATGGACATGTTTTGCCCCCCCAGGGGCCAACATACGTCCATGTCCACCGCCCGCTGGGGCGCCAGGACGTCGTTTCCCAGGCGGTGGCTCTGGATAAATCCCCGCCTGGCAGCGGCCGCCTGCAGTGGGCACGTGGCCATGCACCGCTCCAGCGGTCCAGGCGAGGTGCCGAAGCAAGATCGACGAAAGTCGGTTGGTGCTTGGCAGCTTGGGCCGAGTCGGTTTCCTCCTGGGGGTCTGGTCGGTTGCCTCTTTTGGGGGGGGGCTGCCCCTGAGACTCCACGGGGATGGGGGGGTCCTTACGAGCAATACCAGCCCTAGCCTTACTAACTCAATGAATTCGTAGCCTAACCTAAGTCCACGACTTTGAACACATGGGTGGTGGTGGTGCCAGCTGGTGCATCTGCACGCAGGAAAAACAACTACCCGTACTGTTCTGGGCCCTCCTAATTTGGGCCCCTTTTCCACATGCTTCGGGGCACTTTTACTGCTCATCGGGGGGGGCGCGCGGCGCCGCGCCGCCCCCCCCCATCGACAAGTACAAGGACGGCGCCGCCCCGCCCCCCGCCCTCTCCCTTCTGCCCCTGCCTGCTGATGACAAGACTTAGTCTTCGCCTCACTCACTCACACTCTTCCCTCCTCCCTCCTCCCTCCTCCCTCCTCCTCCTCCTCCCTCCTCCTCCTCCCTCCTCCGCTCCCTCCTCCTCCTCCTCCATCCTCATGCCTCCCCCTCTGCCTGCTCCTCCTTCTCCTCTCCTCCCCTCCTCCTCCTCCTCTTTCTCCTCCTCCTCCGTCTCATCCATCCTCGCCTCCTCCTCCTCCTCCCCCTCCTCCTCCTGACTTCTAAGAAGCGCTCCGCCGTCTTAGAAGTCCACCGCCTTGTAAGAGGCGAGAGGCTCACACGGGCTGCTGCCCCAGCACGGCCTGACACCAACACAGACCACCGCAGAGCATTCGTGACGACGACGTGCCCACCGAACGACACAGCACCACCGATATACACGACGACTCCAACAGCAAGGATTCCTCCCCTCCTCCTCCCCCCATTCCGTTTCACAGAAGTTCTTATACGTCTCGCATGCATGCCTCACCATACACAATCAAATGTTGGAGGCCACGGCCTCACTCACCTGGTCTCAAGTAGGCCTGGACCGCTGTCCGCATTATTGGGGGTCGTTTGTTCGTTCGTCATCCCCAGTGGGCCATGGTATCACAGCTTCACAATCCGACCTACCCAGGCGGGAATCACCAGGGGAAGCAATTATCGACCTCCTTTTCACCCCTAGCTACCACGTTCAACAGATAATTCCAATCGTGAGCACAGGCTGGCTTAAGAGTCCTTCAGGCATCCTTCAGGAATCCCCAGCAATCCTTCAGGACTCGGCGGGAGTCCTTAGGAACCCGTCAGGGATCATTTTGCATTTCTCCGGAATCTTCAAGGGTCCGCAGCAAGAACCCTGAAACGTCTTCAGGAATTCTCGCGAATCGTTTTGGAACCGCCAGCATCTTTCAACAATCTGCAGAATTCCACCAGAGATCCACAAGCAATCATCCTGGCATCTTGGAAGAATCCTATTGACATCCGATTGGGGTCTTGAAGGAATCCTTTTCTGATCTTGGTGGGATCTCGCAGGGATAGCACTTCCAGGGGCTGCACAGCGATACAGTTTCGCAGAACAGGGAGGGTGGTAGACAACTGCTTCCTGCGGTTACGCCCTGCGAACCGAAGGAACGGGCATTGTGGTCCAGGGGCCTGGCCCCCCCAAATGCTATTGGGTTCGGCACCCCACCCCCTCTCCGATAGGTCCCGCCCGCCCTCCTGTAGGTGAGTGGAGGGGTGGTGCTGTTGTGGAACCTCGTGGTGGTCTATGCGTCGGCGGCGTCTTCGCCGCGGTCGTCGTCGCCGTCGCTTCCCTGCGGGTGCGGCGTGCGCTTGCAGTGTTCCAGGGAGTGGGTGGTCGTCGTCGTCATCATCGTCGTGCTTGCCTCCAGGGTGCCCTGGGCTTCTTGGGTTTCGATGG